ATCAGGGAATAAATTAAGAAACTAAAATATAAGCTACAGTGAGCATGAAATGTCAGGGAAGATGAAAATTGGCAAGTATGACAGCACAGATTGACTGTTATTTCCTGACAGAACAACTACTCAAGTAGAGAATACCTGTACAGGTTTAGATTCCAGGATATGCAGTCAACAGAACATAACTTAAGTAACAAATGAAACCAGTTTTTGTCAACTAAGTACTTACTGCTTCAGAAATACACTGTTAAGCTCCTTAGAGAGTACATACTGCCTCTCTGGAAGTCTACTTAGAGTAGACTTAGGGTTTAGAAGGGAACTCATTTCACAACTTTCATCCAACCTCTAACAACCCAACTGGTGGGCAGGCAGGGAACCTGCAAACCAGAGAATGACAGCTCCTACCTAGTTTAAGGTTTCACAATAAGGTTTGTAGAGCTTTCACTCCATCACAGCCTGCCACTTTCCCATGTCCAGGAGAGAGCTCTACTCCCATTTTTCCCTTTATTTTATTCCAAATCTGAACACAAACACACTAGCTTGAAATTCTCCCCTCATCTTGATCAAACAGGGAGAGTAGTATTGAGGCTTCTTCCAAACTTTCCCCTCTAGTTCATAAATCAGAGCTCTCAATGAGGGAGTCTGACAAACTAACTCCCTCTGCACCTGTGTCTACTGCAGGACAGCAGTTCAAATCAAGAAAATGTTCCTTCCTTTTTAGAAAGCTAAGTTCTCAAAAAAGTACACAAACCATCAGACGATTCTAGTGTTTTGCTTACAGAGCCCTTAGAAACCACTCAGAAAACAGTCAATGACATACATACAATTTTACTGGATGGCAACAACTTGTACATAGCTCTGACTACTACACACCCTAAGTTAGCAACATTAAATCTGCAGTAAGCTCCACAAAGGGGATGTTACCCACAAGAGTGAAACTTGTGTTTTAATGCTTCTAAACATACTATTCTATATAAGACTTTTGTTAGAAGTCTCTCAGCAAACACCAGAAATATCCTGGTTTGAGGTAAAACAGAAAATGAGCCAAGCTTTCAGACTTTAAGCTGATCCCTAATACTTAGATCAATATCACAATAATAGGGCAGAGCAGGGAAGCTTGAACTCATGTGGAAAGAAACCCTCACAAATATACTTCATAAGCACTAAGCTTCACACGCTATTTGCCATAAGCATTAAAATAATGGTGTGCTTTGTGAGCCCTACAGTTTTTAACAATAAAGAGTCTGAATAGCTGACTAAACAGCTATTCTGCGAAAAATTTAAGAGGGTTAAACATTCTAAACCATTTAATTAGTATTGAAAAGTTCCCATACTATCTACTCTGAAAACATATACTACCCTGCTTTAACAGTCTTTCAGGAGGCTATTTTCAGCCGTAACAAGGGAATGGATCACAGCTAGACCTCACACGTATTGGATCAGCTACAACTCTTGATGCAAAGTGAGCTGTTTGACCACAAACTAAGGTTCATGAAGTGACCAAACACTTCCTTAACAAGTGCCAAATGCTGATCTGAAATTCCAGGTATAAACATGTAGGTAAAATACAGCAACCATTAAGGGCTCCTTATACATACAGTAATCACTTCTTCTCATTTTAGTAATTCAGACATGTTAGCAGTTACCTAAACTAGGAACTGTAACACTACCACAACCTATCCCCTAAAGATTTATTACTAATTTTCATGTGAAAAAGGACACCTGCAGCAATAAACCCATAAGCATTCATATCTGCCTTGAGAACAGTAGTTTTCCAAAACTGCTATGAAAGAGTCTACTATATGAACTGTACTGTTCAGACCTTACATTCAACTAGAGCTTTTGGGTATTTATAAAACTACCTTCAAAAAGGAATGTGCAGCATTTGTACACCTGGCATAGACTCTGCTATTCATTAGAAAAGTTTTTACAAATACCAGGGTTTTTTTCTGTCCCCACACTGCTCATTCATAGACATATACACACACGAGTCAAAGTTTAAATATATCAAAAATGCAATATTGCTATGCATATTCATGATGAAGGCAACATGACCTTAGAACAGTCAAAAATAATCATATTTTTACAGTCCTCATTAATTTTGTTGCATCTAAACTTCTAGAGAACATTCCTTTTTCATGACCATAAGCTCACAAGCAATTTTTAAGGAAAGTGCGTTTTTTTAACCATTTGTACTGAAAATTTAACACCTCACTTTGCAAGTTCAACTTTCAAGGGGCCTCCTTGTAAATCCAGAACATATTTGTGCTGTAAAGAAGTGATTCTATATTAATATGAAACAAGATCTGCTGCAGTTAGAATCTGAATCATAGCAGTAGCTCATAAGAGACAGACTGGAGGAAAATTTTTAAAGCTTCATTTGGGGCCATGAATATGAATTTCTGGATAGAAATATTATTAATAAAGGAGGATATTCAAACAGACAGTCTCTTAATTAACTAATTGTACAGTGGGTTCATGTCCTCTTTTCTTCGCCTTCGCTTGTTTGGAAACTAACCTTACAGCCACATGTTCCTGGTGTTTTTAGCAGAAAGACTTTATAGAACTTCCTCCTCTTCCAAGGCTTGCTAGCAAACATTGCAGAAGAGATGCCAGACAGCAAATCAGGATATGCCATTCTTCACGTCATGTGAGAACACGGATGAAATAAAAATAGTATTAATTTAAAAAACACCCAAAAAAACCCCACGCTGCCCCTCCCCTCCAAAAAAAATGAAACCTACTCATCGAGATCAAGTGCATTACTGACATACATGAAGCGGCCAACAAATCATAGGTTGGAGAAGACCCTTAGGATCATTGACTCCAACTGTAAACCTAGCACTGCCAAGTCCACCACTAAACTATGTCCCTAAGCACATCTGCACGTCTTTTAAATATTTCCAGGGATGGTGACTCAACCACTGCCGGGGGAAGCCTGTTCCGATACTTGATAACCCTTTAACTGAAGAAATTTTTGCCAATATCCAACATAAACTTCCCCTGGCACAACTTGAAGTCATCTCCTCTTTTCCTACCAGGTGTTACTTGGGAGAAAAGATAAACACCCACCTCTCTACAACCTTCTTTCAGGTAGTTGTAGAGAGCGATAAGGTTTCTCCTCAGCCTCCTTTTTGCCAGGGTAAACAACTCCAGTTCCCTCAGCCACTCCTCATAGCACTTGTGCTCTAGACCCTTCACCAGCCTCTTGCGCTCCTCTTTTCAATGTTTTCCTGGAAGTGTACCACTAATATTGAGGAAACAAACACTGCTAACTTAAAACATTGAGAATTGTTAGGTGTCCCACACACAGATTACTCCTGTTTATTTCTCCACAGACTTCTTACAGCAGGACAACCTACGTGAGAAACCCCAAAAGAACATCTCTGCCACACCACCTCGTGGAGGTGTAGAAGTTGTTCAGTTTTGTCTCCTCCTTTCCACAACCCAACCACCCCCAAGAGCAGCAGTCTGTGGTCTGAAGTCCCCAGTCCAGGTAGCATATGATGCTATCACACAGTCCTGACTACCTCAGCACTGGCAGGCACTAAACACCTTGTAGCTGACACCTCTGCCCACCTGCATGCTGGCCAACCCCTGCAAGCAAGGTGGCACAATGACAGGCAGTAACGAACAACAGACATAAGAAGGAGCAAAAAGTCTTTGAGATGTGGAATGAATAAAGCACAACTACCCTGGGCAGTTCTATTCCAATGAAGGTACAGACAAAAGCTGATCAACTGTAAATATTTAGCACCTCTCGCCACCAGATGCTATAAAGTAATTGCTTCAATGCTAATTAGATATTGAGCAGCAGTGAACTGTGTCGTTGAGAAGTACCTGAAACATGTAGATAACCAGCATGACTGCTTACTCTGTGGTAAAATATAATACTTTCAAAGGTACAGACAGCACGAGTGAAATGATGTGTGGATATGAAACTAGGGCTTGTGAAGGTTAGAGAAATGACACTGCAGAAGAAGGTTAGAATCACGGGGGTCTGGTTTCAATAAAGAGAATAGTGATCAGCAGTTTGGTAGAAAGCAGCTACCCACGGGAAGATGCTGACCTACCTACTAGACTTATGCATGCACCACTGCTGTGAAGTATTTCAACATAGCATATACCATTCCTCTACCTAGTCTGTCCTCCTCACAACTTGGAGAGCACTGTACTACAGGCTACTGCACTGCACGCTTACATTACTTCAGATCTTTATATATGGTTTCTGCCTGTACTGCTGGCAACTTATTACAAGAAGAACGGATAAAACTACATAGATCTTGATGACACTGTGAAAACTTTTATCAGAGATACTTGATTAGTAAGTAACATCCTTCTCACTCGCCATGTCAAAACGGCTTAAAAAAATGAAAAAAAAAAAAAAGGGGGGGGACAACACCTATTTTATAGCAGTGTTTAAATTCTGAAAACTAAAAAAAAAAAAGTATCAAGAATTTACTGGTTAAAGTCAACAGAAAGATACACTTCTCACCTTTTTCTCAAAGACCTTGAGAAAGAATCTGAAAAATGCATCAGACAAAGTTCACCAGAAATATTTTCATCACAAGTAGTTGTATTACAAACACATAAGGAAAACGTGTCTAATTTCTCATCACGGCTACAGGACAAAATTAATTAACCTCTCACCACTGCAGTCTCATACAGAATACAGAAGTTGGTAACAAAGTAGAAAAGGCACCTCCTTCCCCAGCTGGTAAACGTGAGCTCAGACTACCGTCTCTTCCTCAAAGGTGCTGGGGGAAGGGGGAAGAACTATACCCAGAAAGAAGGTCTGGGTTAGGTTTTGGGGTTTTTTTCCCTCCCACCCGTATTTCTCCTTCTTTCAGAGCTGCTGTCACATCCTAAACAAAAAAAAAAAAAAAAAAGAAAACAAACCAGAAACAAACAAACAAGAAATAGTCACTGGCCTGACTCAGGCTAAAGCTTAAGACCCTCTGCAGTAATGCTCCCCCACCATACAAACCACAGTAGTCTCTGGTGGGATGTCCTGTGGCTTTCAGGTGTTCACAACCAGCATTGGAGTGAGTGCATTCACAGGACACTTTCTTGTACTGGGTAAGACGTGTCCATTGAGGAGTAGGAGAGCAATTCCTGCCTGTCCCCAAGTACTCATCTGGACACAAAGCAGTTCAGAAGGCAAACAAACAATACCCAGCAGTTGCATATGTCAACAAAAAAGCTGCATTTGCCAACTATACTGCCTCACAGCACAGCTTGCTGGCTGCTTTTTCTTTTTTTTTTTTTTTTTTTTTTTTTCCCTTT